TAAGTGGAGATTCATTCCCCAAATGCCAGTATCTTTGAAAGTTTGTGTTCTCAGAGGAGCACCTACATGTTAATTCTTGATCATAATGTGGAAAACTCTGTATGTAGTCCACTTCAGAAAGGAACATGATCTCCTTATTTCCAGTGCTCTGGGTTTCCTTTGGCATTTCAACATCATGCTAAACGTTCTGCTCTTGTAGAGTGACCGAGGCCTGAAAGCCTCCTCATCTGGACTTTCCTTTCCAAGGAATGACCCAGCAGCATGATGGAATGAATGTGCATGTTACTTGGGATACCTCATTCTGACAACAATAGCTTACTTGGGAATGGGTGGTAAATCAACAGTATTCTCTTGATTTTCTCAGTCTTTTGAATTTTTTTTAAAGCATGCACTCTACCACTAAGCTATATCCCCAACCCTTTTCATTTTTTTTTTGTTATATACCCAAGAACCTAGAGCAGAACAAGAGTCTGCAACCCAAGTTCCCCAAACTGCTGAGATGGTGTGTTGTTAAGGTTAGGATAGTCATGTGGGCTCCTCATTCCATCTTCCTTAGGAGATCTCATTCTAGAACTTACAGTATCTCTTACGTTTCTCTCCAATTAACCTTGATCTATGAAATGTTTTTCTCAGCTCCTAAAGACACTCAATATTTTTTTTTATTCCAAAATAAGTATCTCCCATCACTACTAGTATCCAAAGCCACCACCTTTTCTCTGTCCTGTTCTTCACCACTACATTTCTTTGATGATTAGTAAAAACTCTCAGCCCTATCACCTCCCCAGCCTCTCTCTTCTTAAGTCCTGTTGGTCTAATAAAATGGTAGCTATAATAGGCTGATAAAACCACTTGCTCAAGTTGTCTTGTGAGACTCCCCATACACAGTGGTCTTTTTCAACCCTCAATGACTCTTGAGCCCTTGCATGTCTCTCTTCTTTCTTACACTTTCTGTCTTGTTACTGGCCCCTCAGTCTTCTAATGCTCCCTATGTATAGGTATTGAACAAGATTCTGTGTGTGTGTGTGTGTGTGTGTATGTGTTGTGTATGTGTGTATATATTCTCTTTTCTCCTTTCCCAAAAGTTTCTCTAAAAGTAGCACTATCCATTCTAACAGCTTCAACAGTCATCTGTAGTCAGAAGATATCATGAAAATTCTAATATTTAATGAGATCTGCAACAAGTAAATATGATGCACATGTATATCTTATTTAATTTTCAAAATAACATTTGTTGGCCCCATTTTACCCTTGAGACATTTGATATCCAGGGAAACTAAGTGATTTGCACAAGGTCACATAGTCAGCAAATGAAATCAGTGCCTGGATTTGAGCCCAGGCAGCCTGACACCTGTGCACATCTTCTCCATCATTAAGCTCCATCAAGGCTGGACTCTAATTCAACCTCCTTCCGGAAGGCACTCCTGATCACTTAATGTGATAGGGAGATCCCATTTGTGTCTTCCATATGTCATTTACATTATCAGTATATCATGGTCATTTGCACACACACACACACACACACACACACTTTAATAGGACTTTGGACACACCATTGCACCATTGACTCTGGGAGAAGGAGATTGTATTTACTGATTTCATATCACCTTTCATGTTAGCCTATGACACCTGGCAAAAGAACTGACAAATTGAGTGGAAGATAAATCATCTGCTTCTCCCAGAAGGTCCAAGCTCCTGTTTATATCCAGATGTGATAAGAGTGCAAGAAGAAAACAAACTTCAAGGTGTCACCAGGCTCCAAGTGACTAATCACTCTGGGCAAGGTGGCTTAAGCTCTGTTTATTTTGAAAGATGTGTAAGGAAAGTTAGACCAAACCACCAAGTATTACAGATCATAGTGCTGTGTCTGCAGCAATGATGCATGCTTAATTAATACAAACTCATTAAGCAAGATGTTATGCTTCATCTACTTTAATAGGACAAAAATCCCATATTTCAAAATAACTATCCAATCTCACATTGAGAAATCCTTTCCAAGAGGTGTGACTGACTTCAACTCTAAATAAAGGAATGTGGTAAATGAGTCACTTTCCATCTGTTAAGAAAAACACCAATAAAGTTTTTTGTTCTCCATGAAGGTCTCTCATGTTCTCGCTGTGTAATAAAATTTAAATTAAATAAGACAAGAAAATAGACATTATTTGGGACTGATAAACTTTGAAAACTTCTCCTTTGTTATAAAACATGTCAAGGGAGAATAAAGAACAAAGTTTTCCAGGCCCAGCATGTGCAACCAACTGAGGGCCTTATTTACATCTAGTTGAACCATCTGTTCAAATAGGAGAGAGGAAGCTTGCCTCAGAGCCTATTCAAGCAGAAAGTACCCATGGATTTCATGGGAAATGCTCTACTTCATTTGGGCATATGAGGAGTTTAAAGATGAAATGTGGGCAGGAAAGGAGAAAGAGAAAACCTGCTGATCCTCAGAGGCTGACCTTGAACATCCTACATGTTTATTGCCCTACAAGCACTTACATAACGTAGCCATCCTCTAGATCAGCCAAAAAGGTTTATTTGTGAGCAGGTTACAATAAGGTTCTGAGTAGTGCCCATAAAAGAACTGTGACCCAAAATTCTGTTACAAGGTTGTCACTCTTTGCTCTTGTGATTTGTCCCTTATCACATTGACCTTCAACCACAGGTGGAATTATGCTTCATTTAGAACATTGGTTGAACAGGTGTATCATGATCTCTTTATTCAACCATTCATTGTTTGATACAAGTTATTTCCATAGACTGGCTGTTGTAAATTACTTCCATGAATATGGGGATCCAGATGTATCTTCTAAGCACAGACTTCATTTTCTTGCTCAGAAATGGGATTGATGGATTATATATTAGGTCTATTTTTTAAAATTTTTTTGAGAAATGTACATACTGTTTTCCATATTAATTATACCAATTCATAATCAATAGTATGTAGGAATTTTTTTCCTATACTGTTGCCAAATATGTTATCTCATAATCTTTTGAAAACAGCTACATTACCAAATATGAGATGTGGTTTTCCTTTACATTTCTTTGATGATTACTGATGCTGAACAAAATTTCACGTCTGTTGGGCATTTGCATGTTCTCTTTGGAAAAATACTTTTGAGGACCTTTGCACATTTTTTAATTGGGTTATTTATTTATTTTTGTTGCCTTTGTTGTCTTGCTTTTGAATTTTGTGAGTTCCATCTATGTTTTTACTTTTAGCCCTTTTCACATATGTTTTCCTGTTCTGTAAGTTTCCTTTATACTTTTTTGATGGTTCCCTTTGCTGTGAAGAAAACCTTTTGTTTGATTTTTACCATTCTGGTTTTGCTTTTATTACCTGTGCTTTTGCTTTCATATCACAAAATATAATCACCAAAAACAATGTTGTGAAGCTTTTTTTTTCAAGAAATTTTATAGCTTCATATGTTACAATTGAGTTTAGAACTCATTTCTAGTACATTTCTAGTAAAAAAAAGTTCCAATTTCAAAAAAAAGTAATGTAGAGATCAAAATGTTTATCTACAAGATTTTTTTCATCTATTGTATGCCTTGCAAAAAATACTCCACGAGACTAAATCACACAGCATTTCTATTTAATACTACTTAATATAATACATCATTAAATATTAGTAGATATTTGATTCTTGTAAATATCTGAAGACTACACATTCCAAGTGGTCAAATGGCTTTTTCATGGATCATTTCCTTAAGAAATAGGGAATCTTCAAATAGACTTATATAGACTGAAGGAAATAATAAATGAATATATAAATATTTATGAAAGACTAAAAATTAATTAAATATCAACATTAGAAATCATTTGCTCAATGATACATTGAACAACCATTGGTTATGTTACTGTCTGCTAAGCAAATAATAATCAGAATGGTCTAGTGCTAACAGTCCATAGAAATGTTAAAATAGAAGAAAAAGTTTTTTTAGCTTATTACTATAAAAAATTGGAAACATATAGAAAAGTAGGAAAATAATATAAATGGATACCCATATAACCTCCATCCAGAGTCAACAGTTGTTAACATTTTCCTAGAATTGCTCCATGTGTACATGCAATTTGAATGAACAATTTGAAAGAAAATTAGAGTTGTCATAACACTTTCCCCCTTAATACTTCAGCATGCAATTACAGGATTAAAATATCTCCTTATGTAGTTATAATATTGCAACCATTTCTAACAAAATTAACAATGCCTTTAGTTCATATTGAATTTTCCTACAGTTGTTCAAAACATAGCATTTTCACCTTTTTATCCACACACACATGCAAAAAAATAATAATAATTAAAAAATAGAATCCAATTTGGTTGTTCTTTGTCTTAAGTCTCCCCTCTCTACCTGTTTTTTTTCTTTTAATGAGAATTGACTTTCTGAATAGACCAGGCCAATTATCATATAGAAAGTTTCACATCCTGGGTTATCTCATTATTTTCTTATAATGTCATTTATCATATAATTATAATTTCTTGTAAAAGATGTTAGATATAAAAGCGTGACTAAATTCAGGTTAAATATTTCATAGGTGATATTGTGTGTTGATTATTACATCAAATTTCATAGGTGATGTTGTGTGTTGATTATTACATCAAAAACAGAGTACAGAGTATCTGGTTGTTACAACATTTGTGATGTATTTTAATTACATGGTTAAAGAACTAACCCCAGGTTTGTGATTAAGGAATAATTTAAGGGATTGTGCTTTGGCATCTTGTGAACACCCTATTCTGCTAACTTTTCATTCAGTGGTTTGATCATTGGTTGAGTTATTTATTTTTTTTTCTTGAATCAATTATTTCATTAGACTTTATGAAGTAAACTTTATATTTCTGTTTCTCCTCTTCAATGATCAATTTCCAATTTTCCCAAGCAGTTTTTACATCTTAAGTATGTTATTTAAAATATAAAAGGTCAAAAATCCAAATTTTTAAGTATGACAGGATATTTGTAATGGAGATTTACTCATCTTTGGTTTTCTCTTGTGTTTTCAGCAAAATGGGAAGCCACATTTTTATGAAAATCTCATTGTTGAATCTTTTGAGGAAGCACCTCTTCATGTTCTGGTTTTCACCTACATGGGATATGGAATTGGAACCTTATTTGGCTATTTCAGAGACTTTTTGAGAAACTGGGGAATAGAAAAATGCAATGCAGCCGTAGAGCGAGAAGAACAAAAGGTATGTATATGCATCTTGCTGGATCTGTGTCCATGTCTGCTCTGAAATGCTCTCAGAAATGGGGATGCAGAGACAAGACCTAGATGGTCTGGAACTATTCAGGGTAAATTCTACTAATTTCTACCCCCTAAACCTCACTCCCTGTGTGTTCATGGATTTTTTTTTAATTAGAGCTTTATATTTATAGAGTAGATGAGTTCTTGACAAGCTCATACATGCATAGAAATTGATAGATTTGTTTTTACAAACATTTTTTTTAGCAACTGCTAATTGCCAGACACTGAATGTAAGCTCTTCTATTCATTTAAATGTTTAATTTATATATGTATATATGTCAGGAAATAGATATCATTTGAAAGATAAAAACATCAAAATATAAGAGTAAGGACACCTGAGTGGGATCATACTCTCATCTTCTAACTATAGATTGAATATTTACACCCTATCCTGAAATAGGAAAGTATATCTGAATGAAATATAATATTTTAATTTCGTCTCATCAGTTTCTCAACTTTCCCACTATTGATGCTTTGCACTAGATAATTCTTTGATGTGAGAGGCTTCCCTGTGCATTGTAAGAATTTTAACAGCATACCTGCCTTCACACACTAGATTAATCACTGCACCCCCAACACACACACACACACACACACACACACACATACACACACATACACACACACATTTACTCATCAAAAATTCCTCCAGACAGTATCAAATGTCTCATGGGATACAAAATCACCCATGATTTAGAACCACTGATCTAGTCACTCTTTATAATTAGCCTATAAAAGCCTACATCATCTGGTGTTTGCAAAGAGTTAGAGAACAACCTGGAAAGTATTCAGAGCTCTACAAAACCCTGCATTGTGTTAATACATTTTTCAAATTGGTTTAAAATATTTATGATGCCATGAATCTCTTTTTTCCAAAACTTGCTTTTGGATATTATGAATATTGCCATGAATGTCAGTGTAACAAGAGAACCTCAACTCATGTGATTTAGCAAGCACTACCATTGGTAAGATAAATATTTATCACACTAACACACCCATGAACAAATCATGTGGAACACTTCTTTTGGAATTTCCTTAGCGAAGTGTATCACCTTCAGAAGAAAATCTCACTCAGTTCTATTATTTTAATCCCTGTTGACCTTTACAAATATTTTAGCACATGTTAGGGGTGATCTACATAGAAGAAAATATAGGGCATGCCATGAGAAATTTTGAATTCTAGTATACAAACAGGCTCACAAGTAATTCATTTGCTCAAAGGTGAAGCTAGGGAACAGAGATGTGGCTCACAGGGATCTTTACCCTCTCTCTTAAGAAATGATGAAGTCATGATGCTGAGGCCTGAATGAAGAGCAGGAGTTTGCCAAGTAAGCAAGGATGCAAAGGAAAACATTCTCAAAAGAGGGCATTGCTTGTGCCAAGGTGTGTGTCCACTCATTAATCAAGCCAGTTTCTTTTTGAGCATGGGTTTTTGTGCTGTGGACTGTGCCACAATCTGGGGATACCAGAATAACCAAGTCGGACATAGTTCCTGCACTCAGAGACTAAATTATAAAAAAGCAACAGCTTTGGGGGAGGAAAGAGATATGCCTAACTTGAACCTTCTGCTCAGTGAAGCCTTCTGGGAGGGACAGAAAGTTGAAGTGAGATCTGAAGACCGAAGAGCAAGCAGTAAGGCAAAGGGTGAGGCAAGACCCAGTGGGGAGGGGCAGGGATTCTTTAGGGAGAAGGTATGTGGGCAAGATGGTCCAGGGTAAGAGAAGGCATTGTGTATTCAAGGAATTCCAATGACTGGAGTGTTGTGAGTGGGAGCAAGAGTATGTGAGGAGGAAGACTGAGAGGCAAGCAGGGGCTGGACTATAATGGGTTTTTATAAGCCATGGACATATATTGTAGAAACAGCAAGAAAGTGTTGAACAACTTCAGACAGAAGAATGAAAATTGGTATATGTAAAAAGATCATTCACTGTACTACGAGAAATGGGTGGCATAAAGTGAACATAGAGATGAAAACCTGGGCAAGAAATTTATACTGAAACCAAGGTAGTAACAGTAGGGGTGGTGATTAGGCCAAGAGATGTAGAAGAAGTGGAGCTAGAGATGATCGATTTGACCTGGGAATTTAGGAATATGGACAAATCAATGGCCACACTCACATTTATGACTTACGCAGATGGGCACAAGGTAGTATCATTAATTGAGATGAGAAATAGAGAATAAAGATCCAGATGGAGGGGAAAACTTGTCAATTCCTTTTTTACCAAGTTGAGTTGGAAGAGGTGGCAACTAAAAATAGAGATCTGGACCATGAGAGAAAAGTCTCAGATGGACACCATGGCAACTTTAGTGTATCTTCAGCATATTGACATGAATCAAAGCCAGGGAAGTCGACAAGATCTCCCAGGGCAGGTCTGAAAAGAAAAAAAAAAAGAGAGAGAGAGAGAAAATGAAAAGAAAATGAACTTCAAGAATTTAGTACATGTCAGGGATGGAATTCCAATTCAGGACTAGAAACAAAGCAACCACAAAGAAAGCTAATGGTAGCTTAGAAAAGAGGTCATTGTGCTTAAAATAGGGAAGAAAGGAAGGAAATCAAAAGGGAACTCATTGTAGAGACATTTAGAAAGTCATCAAATCTTGGTGGCTGAATGCGTGGAAGGTAAGATAGGAGAAGAAATACAGGGAGGTCCCAGATTTCTTGCTTGGATTGACATGTGAATGGCAGTGTCAGATCCATCTTATATTGACAAAGGATGGTGATAGACCCAGGAAAGGCCCCACAGGGAGCTCTGAAGACAGAAGGCTCTTCAGAGTCATTCTGAATTGTGAGAAGGAGGCTGGGCATTTGAACTTTGGCATTGATAGGGGTTGCTCCTAAGGATCCTGGCTGAGGAAGATCCCTTCAGGCCCAGGTGATGCTCAGAGAAATTTTTAGCCTCCAATGCTTCTAACAACTAGGAGAATGGGTACTTCAGTCCTGAAGGAGGGACTGTGGGCAGCCTATGCTTTAACAGCTGTCCAAATTGCTACAAGAACTGCTTAACCCACTTTATATGGGGAAGGCCCTGCCTTAAATAAATTGATAATTTACATTTCTTTACAAAATAAATGGTTTCCACCCTGTTTGATCTTTATAAGATTAAGAGCATCAATCAATATGCTCACATTGATTGATGGCATACATTTTTATATGGTACATCTTTTATTATTTGTCCCATTTGAAACCCTTAAAGGATTCAGAGCCTTTTAGAGTGACAGGTTCTGACTAACTGTGATCACTATATTCCTTCTGATGGGACTTGATTATTCTCAATCATGCCTACAGACTGACTCTTTATCCTTTGAATAGTCTTCTTGCTTCCTGTTAATGAACTATCTGAGGCACATCTTGAAGTCTTTTGCTCAAAACAGGAAATATGCTATTTTCCTATTCATCCCTGGTTCTTTTTAGTGGAAAGGAGTATTACATTTTAAAAACTGGTCACTAAGAGTGCAGAATGTGTTGCCTGACAAGACAAAACAATTGTTGGCAAAGTTTCCCAGGTGATTTTCACATGCAGCCAAATACTTTAGTATAATGCTTCTCAAACTTTACTAGGCACACAAGTTATCTGGTGGTCATGTTCAAATGCAGATTCTGTGACACCAAGATTCTGTATCTCTAAATAACCTCCCAAGAGAAGTGATGCTGCTGGTCTGGGGATCACATATTGATCCAGTTTGGTGCTATCACCTGACAGCTTGTTAGAACTCTCAGGCCCAGCCCAGCACTTCTGAAACAGATCCTTTATTTTAACATGATCATTGATGATGTGGACATGCACTAAATTTTGACGAGCACTTCTAATCAAGAGATTCCTAATTTGAAGTTCACCTGTGATCAGGTGAAAACAGCATCATCTCACACAGCCTCTAGGTGCTCATCACCTTTCACTTGTGCAGCTATTCTACCATCACTTCCATGAAATGGAGACCCAGCCCATCTATACTTTATTTTGGTAGCTTTTGGGATGCCAACCAATCCATATTAGCAGTTGAAAATACAGATTCAGAGCTTCTCAACCATGAGTGCCAACCTTATCTATTGATCTGCCCCAGGAATTTGTCTTTGCCAACTTTTGTCTTCAGTATCACCTCCAAATTGCTCTACTCTACTTCATCCCTAGAGTCTATATCCCTTGATTTTAGTCTCTTTCTGTTCTAAACTCCCCCATATTCTCTTTTTCTTCCTTGTATCCAGCTTAAATTACACAGCTTTGATACACCCTCAATTTGATGCACATCCCTGCTTAAGATGACCAATCTCCCTTTAAATTCAGCATCACTAGGCTCAAGGTGGCTCAGTGCCTCCTGACGATCACTCTGCCTTGCCTTGTACATTTAGTCACTACCTTCTTCTTTCACCTCAAACCTCCAACACCTCTAGGCCCTATTGACGTTCAGCAAGTAATTTTGCTTCCTATTTCACTGAAAAAATAGAAGAAAGCCAGAACTCCCACCTGCTCGCTCTCCTCCACCACTTCCTTACTGACACCTGTGCTTACGTACTTCACCTTCTACTCCCTTCCCATGGAGAAGGTGGATGGACTCCCTTCCAGGCCAGCCCTCCACCTGTGAACTAGATCCCATTCATCAGCAATCCCATAGCCTTGACACCTTCAAACTCTGCATTTAAACTTCCCTTCCAAACCTATGCCTTTCATAATCTTTCTCAGATCAGTCAGTGATGACTTCACCAGTCCAGGTGCTCTAGACAAAAACGGCTTAAGTCATCCCTGACTTCTCTCTTTGACTCCATCATGTATATAATACATTTTATATATTATCAAATCTATAGGCAATGATAATAGTTCTATGTTTAAAATATATATCTCAGACTACATTTTGCCATACTGCTGCCTCCAGGTTTGTGTTCATTAGCACCTTCTCTTATGTACCCGGTTTCTACTTTTAAACTCTACAACCTTCTCTCAACTTACAAGC